CGTCCTTGTTCCATATTATAGCGGTTTCTTCTATGCTTGACTGAGGATTAGCCAATCAAACCAGGACATACTTCAAGTACCATTATTGCATACCGGTAGTGGTACGGACACGACGCCACGGACCTAATAGCTAGTTTTACTTGGTTTTGTCTGATGAAATACAACACAGTCATTTAGCCTGGCTAACGACTTGAAGACAGCCAGAAACAGTCTGGCGGAGAAACCCACGGATACTGCAAGTAGTAACCCTAGTTGACAGGAAAGTAAAATCAGGTAAAATTGGATACGCAGCAACGAAACTGCAAGCTTATGACAAACAAAAGCAAATATATGCACAATACTGGACGAGAAGCTCACATCGCTGAATGAATTTATAGATCCAAATTTGCGGCAAGTCATTGCCGCATTCAACCACAAGAAGGTACAAATTAGCATTACTCTCATGTTCAGAATGCAGATCTCCAAGTTGATACCCTCGTTGGGTAACCGCGACAACATACTACCTGTTAAAGAGAGGCTTTCGCACCTATGCCAGTTCACATCTTAAACTGTATCCTTCCCAGCTTATGACCGAAGCATAGAGGCCGTGCGTTTGTTGTTGTTGCTCGTACAAATGCGCGCTGTGGTTGTTGGCGCTGTAGCCACGAAGACTGTCGTTCTTGATCCAAGCTTATGTCATTCCGCAATTTCCCCTCCAGTACCCGGGCCCAGAACAAGCGTCACCCGCGAAAATGCGTTTTTCCAACATCTTTCTGATGGTATCTGCCGCTGTCCTCCTCACTTCCGACCTCTGTGGAGCCACGAACGCCCAAGGCGACATCGTTTCAAAGCTGGGGCCAGAAATGGTTCGCTCGGCGGATGCGTTTGCCAGTGTCAAGAGATCCCTACGCAGCCACAACGTCGACGGAGACGATGAGGAAGAGAGAGCTGGAGGTGTTAACGCGTTTGAAGAAGGAAAACTCAATAAGATGCTGGGCGATATCAACTTCGCATACAAGAAGTTCGCCAAATGGTCCAATCGCGGATGGACGTCAAACGATGTGTATGATCATGTGCCATACAAGCTCTATTCCCAGTACTACGACTACCGCAAGATCGCTGGCCACGCTTCTTAGGCTAATCGCGAAAGTGTGACAGAGCCATGGTTAACACAGAACCCTTCTTTCCTTCACGAGGAAAACCATATAGCAAATGCGATTGCAAATACAGCAGATTCATTTCATGGTGAAATCATTTTTAGCTACTCTAACTCCTTCAATGAAATGCGTAATGCGCAGATCACGACTTAACTGGCTTATCTCTATGTTATCCACTAAGTGTCAACTTCTTGTAGCATTTGCGTAGCTTTCGTTGTTAATGGACAACATCATATCTACAGCTTCTCCTTGGCACGCTTTCGCAACCATCACTAGTTTCCCACTGCGCTCGTAGGTAGCCACCATGAACGCGCTTCACTTACTTTCTTAAACTCAATTCTTCCAACCTTTAGTCGCCTTCAACTAGATTAAGGATGTACCGTGTTCTCTGGACTACATCATCTCGATATTAGCTTACTTTGACGTCTGTAAGGTTGGCATTGATTCCCGGGTCCGTGTCACTAAACTGCGTGTTGGTGGAACTTCGAAGTGCGTGAGAAAGAATAGACGACTCGCTTGTTGGAGAACGCCGTAGCAAGAGTATCCTAGCATCCTTCAGGGTCACCATCAGTCCGCGTCGTTGTCATCGACTCCACATTGTTAGTCACCGAAAAAGAAGGGGGGGGGGGTCTGTGGTTACACTGTTGCCAGGTGCGTCAGAGAATGCTAGCTTCAATTTTGGCACCATGAACCCCACGAAAGAGCATTCAGATCAGCATTCTAGTGTTACAACTATATTGACTTGTGTCGAGATCCCGTAGCCTGTGCATCCCAATGTAATCTCATATGTTCCATTCGCGATTTAAAAACTTGGGGCGCTGTTTCCGCAACCAGTTTGAATGGAGCCACCCCCTCCGTAGCCACTCTGTAGGGATACAGACAACGACGGTGAAATCCGCCATACCATACAAACCCGCCATGAACATTTGAAGTTCAATACACAAGATTTGCACAAGTTAAAGTTATTGCCATTAACCCTTTCGCGAACCACTTTGGTAAACTATAGTATACAAATCTAGGATAGTCGGTATCAAAAGGAGGCATTTTGCCTCCTTTAAGGCGAGGGATGAACCAACTTCAAATCTTCCAAGTGTGATTTGCTTGGTTTTTCTATGCCCATAACGACCTGTCGTAAACGTACTTAATTATAAAAGGAGGCATTTTGCCTCC